TAAAAAATGTATGTCACAAGCTGATGCATTAAATGCAAATCAAATATTCTCATAGGAAACTACAATGTGGAAGAGAGTGAGCAAGTGGAGATGCCTTGTCCTTGGAGTTAGCTCGCTGCATAGATAATTTGTAGAGAGAGGCTCACATGGATCTTCTCAAGGAGCCAACGCTCCTGAGTATCCAGCTTTGTCCTCAGCAGGACAAAGTTCAGTGAACTGCTATAATCTGTATAAGAAAATAAGCTTGGCTGGGAAATAACTTGGAAGGTTTCCTTTGTGGGAAGCACTGAGATGAAAGACTACTGTATTTTTGCAGAAGCATTTTAAATCCTTCAAAAGAATGGGCACAGCAAGAGGGTAAGAAGACAGACACTATTAACTGGCAAGCTAGATACACGGAGGAAGAATAATGTCAAAGATTAGTACAAATATAGAAGTCACACCTACTAGATTTCAACACATTCCCGATGGCAGGACTACTGAATATTCTTTTAGAGAAAGGATGTTGCAGACTTCAATCCCACTCCTCTTCTTTAATCTGAGGCAACAGAGATCTCCTAACACTGAGTAATGGGCAAGTGTGCAGAGCAGAGGATGAGACACACGAGAGATGCAAACATGGTTCAGAGCAGAGCTGCTTGTCCCCTTGTGCCCTGGGAGGACAGACCCTGCAGAGGGATTGGGTCCTGCAGCATGACCAAATATTTCTTCTGGTGCTGCAAAATGGGAAATAGACACTTGATTTTGTTACCTGTCACTGCTTGAGAGCAGCTTCTTTCTCTGTTTGATTGGAAGATAAGAATATGCAAGTGCATGCATGCACACGTGAGATCCCTTTCATCAGGGGTGAGCTCTGCTAAAATGTGATCTAACCTGAGTTACAATGTAAAAATCTGCAGCCTCCCTACCTTTATTATCTGCCTTTTTTAGAATTTGAGACTTTTTTTAAATCTTTAGACACATATTCAGTTGTCTTTGAGGTGTGCATTTCTTCCATTTGCTTTTCAGATTGCTAATGTAGATTAATTGCCTGTTTTGTCTTCTAAAAACTTAAATTTAGAAATTTTAATGAATACCTAAAGCATTAATAAAGAGTACAGACATGCCTGTGCCTGCTTCTTCCTTTCCATTTTCTAGGTTGCACTGCAGTAAAAGCAGGATCAAGGTCTTCAAAGAACAGGACTGATTAAACTGAAAACTATATTTTTATAGTCCTCTCCTTCTGTAATCTAATGAAACCTTTACATTCTGTACTAGACACAAGGAATAAATCAAGGAGAAAAAAGATCAAAACAAAAAGGGTTGGATAGAATGTGTTTTCAAGCAATTTTATGTGTTTTCCTTCAGAGGCAAAGCAGAGGGTTTTTTAACTCAGTAGCACCTCATGGTCTGAGCCAGTGCTCAGTGCCCTGGCAGCTATGACCACCTGCAGCTTGGGATACTTCTGCTGTCCTGGAACACAAAAACTACATTTCCTCAGTTTGCTGGGGAAGAAAAAGCTGGGGCTGAAGTTCTGGTCTAGCTTGTCATCTCCATAAGGAGGGAAGCACATGAAAGGGTGGAGGGAAATGCAGCAGCTGATGCAAGGCCATTGAAAGGCAATTTCCATGAGGCTGACACTGGGCCAAGAAAACATCCAATGCCAGACACCAGGAACAGCTGAAGCAGGTTGCACACTGTTGATAATTATATTGTCCATGGCAATGTTGCCTATCCAAATACAATTTGAAACAAAAAAAACCCCAAAACCAACTGGTGTGAATAAGCTCAAGAGGGAATTATTGAAGCTTTAGAAGCAACTAGTTGCTACAGATTAATCAGCTGTATACAAATGTAATTTTAACCAGGAAAATCACAGGTCTTGAAGATATCTAACCATAAATAAACATTGGTGCTGAAGACTTAGCATGAAGTACTGCCTGATTTACAGATTATTGAGTGCAATATCATCACAAATGAGAAAGTGATGAGATAAAAACATTTAAGCATCAAGGGAAAACCAGATAAAATGAAAACCAGTAAAATGTGTAGCAAATCTGGTTGATGAAGAGGGCTAACACTAATATTCTAATATTGATGACAGAAAGAAAATTATATAAACATGAAAAAATGCTACCTGTATTTTCTTAGCTTTCATGAATTTCTTTTAGAGAATTAACAACTAATAGAAAAGTAATGCCTCAAAGACTAAAAAAAAGAGTATGTTTATTTTAAAAGCCAAAAAGGAACAGAAAATAATTTTTTTGTTTGTAAATATGCAATATGAGTGATGAGAATGAATGAAAAACAAATGACTGAGGATAACTGGAGAAGGCAATAGATATATTGATATATCAGCTCAGTAAGATGCATTAAAACTTGACCGCTTTGTTTTACATCTTAAGGACAGCAAGTTTTTCTATAAAAGATGTGGCTAAATTAAAACTTTAATTAAACTAGTAATGGTAATGTATGACAGATATGCTTGACCCCTTAACCAAACTATCAGTAATTTGGTACAGGCTCCAAAGCAAGTAAAGACCTGAGCTGTATCCAGGCCAAGAACTCCTCTAGAAGCTCCCAAAGGGGCAGAGTGACCCAGAGAGTATCGAAGCACATGAGCTTGGAACAGGGATTGTGTGAGTCATGCCTGCACAGCAGGTGGCTTTTCCAAGGGTCTTTTATCAAAGAACAAAGAGGGCTGTGGGTACAAGGAGGTACACACATACCCTTCCTCCTGTGTTAAAGCTGACTACAAGCCAACCCCTTCTGACAGCCCCAGGGAGGCACCTCAGGGAGCTCTCCCTGCTGGGCAGCGTGGCTGCAGGGCAGGGACCTCCCCTTGCCCTGGGACAGCTCTCAAGGTCACTCCTTGAGGCAGAGACCCTTCTACAAACAATCAATCTTTGGATGAGTCCAAATTCTCTAAACTGCAACTGGACTGCAGAGCAGTGACTCTCCCTGGAAATGGGACTCCTTTCAAGGACTGGGATTCCTTACCTGAGACTAAGGAATCCTTCCTTACCCAAGGCAGAGAGACCCCTTACTTATGGATCCTTGGTAAGTGGCTGGTAGCATGCTGAATAAATATTAATGAAATCCATGCAGTTAATTCCTTTAGACATATGCCATTGTCCAAGTCTGAGACTAAGTCTGGACCTAGCCACAGCTGAGCTCCACCAGGACTGTAGAAAGCAAGAGGGTCTGCTCTGAAACTCATGACCCATTGGGAGGGTCTCCCTTACCCTTTGGCTCTTTGGTCAATATATAAATAATTTGAAATAGATTTGAACTTGATTTTCCTTTGTATAACGTAGTAACTAATAGAGTGAACCTTGCTGTTGAACTTTACTAAGATGCACTTTTATAAATTGATATTAAACCCACACTTGTTAATACCTCTGACACTGATCCTTCAGGCAATCTGAATCACTCATTTGTGACAAACTAGAGCAGTTGGCAGGATCCTAAATCAGGATCCACAGCATAATGCTACAACTGTTTATGGCTATTAAAATGGTCCTCAAAGTCAACAAAATAAAAATGTTTTTTTTGAATTTGTAAATGGCCTAGAACAGAAGACTAAAAAGGAGGAAGGAGTAAGCAAAGAGAGTATTGACCATTTTAGCCAGTTACCCCTGGCTGCTGGGTGTGAGCGGCACAGACAGAGGTGCCAAGCACAGCATAAAGTGCATTCCTGCCTACTTCAAGCATTGCCAATCTCCCCTGCCCATAATGGCAAGTCATGCCATGTGAAAGAGAAAAGGAGGATCTTCACCTTCATGTTAGTGCCATAAACTGAGTCTTACATGGCAGAGCTTTGACTTTCTTTCCAGCCTGTCTCTGGTAGACTGCCCCTCCTTCTTGACGGAGCCTTCCAGTTTCTTTGTGACTGTTCCATTATTCACAGCCAAATGCAAACACCAGAAAACTTACAAGCTTAATGCAACAGTAAACCAGCTTAGCCAGGTACAACTGAACCTCTGAACTGCACCACAGAGTTTTCTTCATGCATATCTTGCTTTAAGGCTGCTGTGGAAGTTCACCCTCTTGTGAAAGTTGCAACTGAGGTGCCACTGCAAGAGCCTTCTGTAACCAAACGGCTTCAGGGAAACTGGTTGAGCTTGCAAAGTGTTTAGGGAGTATAAAGAGGAGCCATGGGAATAGGTGTATTAAACAACACCCATGCCTTTGTTACTTGCACTACAGTGTTTATAGCTGGTATTGCATCACCTGTTTCCTTGAGAAGTAGGATAAGCAGTTCAGAGCACATGTTACAGGTAGAGAACTCAAAAGAGAGGAATAAAATGTATTAAACCATCTTTTTTGTTGTTGTTGTCGAGTGGTGGCTCTGCTTAGGGCATGAGAAGCAGGTAGGTATTTCCAAATTGTGATTTTTTAAAAAATGTTCTTTGCATTTGTTGTGCAGACATATCTTTTAAAGCAAACTAGCTTAATTTTGGAGCTAAACTCAAAAAGATTAGGCTTTAGGGACTGGTTGCCCCTCGTAATTCCTCAGCTATGGACTTTACCAAGTAGTGTTCCTAAAGGAATTCATAGTACTAAGTATGTGCATTTAAAACCATTACAAAATATTAAAATTATTAATTAATTTCATTATTATGAACTATTTAAAAATTATAGGGTTAAAAAACCCCTAGTGAATCACATTTACAGCTGCAATTCAGAATGTTGGGGGCTTGTTTGGTTTTGAAAAACCTCCCATCCATGCACACAGAGGGCAACAGCACAATTTAAATTATAATCCAGGTACCTCAAAGCTTTACTTCATTTGCAGGTGATTTATAGCAGCATAAACCCAAACAACTTACAAATCAGGGCATCCTACTGTGTTTCTAGATAACTAGCACACTTCTGTGAAATGTATTGCAGGTTTTGTTCCTTTTTGTCCTTCCCATTTAGACACCATAGGAGCAGTTCACAATCATTTAAGAAAATTACTAACTCTCCTCTTACATAAGAAATTAAAATAGCTGGAATGAATTACTATTTATACTCACTTGATATAATACGGCACTTTGTTGGGTGAGATTGCCCTCTCCCAGGGGCCTTGGACAGAAGCTGTTAACAACAAAAAAACAAACAAATAAATAAATAGCTGCACACATACCCTCATACATACAAACATACCTAGAAGAGAAACGTGGAGGTCAAACAGGAAAGACAACGTTAATCTCTATAATTACAATTTTTCTCTCGGCCACGTTGATCCAGGTCTGTTTGCTCAGTTACCCGTGGAGGCAGGAAGGATTAACCTGCTGTTCTGAAACCTCTGTCCTAATCTGAGAGAAAGTGAACTCATTCAGCTGCAAAGATAAATACAAAAACTCCTTGAAAGCTAAGCTCACAGAACAGATACAAAGCAGAGCAAGCAACATATGATTCTGGGGTGTTCTCTTGTAGGATTCCTCCTGCTAAGGTGTTTGACTGGGTTTTCTTCTATTTCTTTCCTTGTGTGGTCAGCACTTCTCATCCTTCTAAGAACAGAATTATGCACTTGTTTACACTTTATGTTGAGTGAAATGACACTGAGAGATCATCATATTTTGTTTTTATTCCCTTACTGACTTGCTCTAAATGGTGGGCATTTTTATTCTTATTTCTCCACATTACCAATTGTGTCTTACTGTTTTCCAATGACAGCAGATAATGGAGAAAATGACAGTATGATCACAACAAATAGAGAGGAAATAACTTTTCCCACTTTTGGCTATCATGGTGTTAAATGTCAACATCAGCTTGCAGCACAATGAAAATATTTTGTAAAAGAGGTTTCTAGAAAACTCATTTGACAAAAGAATTATAAATTATTTTTTATTAGAGGCTGAGATAATTTATAATTTAGGCCATAATCAGGGAGATAACTTTTTTATTAGGAATTTTTTATATGTCAAAAAATTCGAGCCAAGATTTTTCTTTCTTTAATATAATGATTAAAACAGAAAACATATGAAGAGTAATCTAATGGAGGAAAAAACCCCAGCCTGTTGGCTTCACCCAGTATAACCTTTCTTTTTAGTGACCCCTGCTGTTCACAAAGGAAAGCAACTGTTACCAGGACAACTAGGAATTAGCTTCTTGACCATTTGGCTCTATTTTCTTTTCCTCTCTTACTCAAAATAGATACTTTAAAAATGCCACTCCCAACCTGCTTTATCAAAATCAACAAATCACAATACATAAAAATAATAATTACAAATATACATATTTAATCTATTTTGTACCAGATTCACAGAAGTCAGTCTGTAGACTGAAGTTAAGTTTCTCTCTGTTGTCCACATATTGCAGTATGGACGAGAGTTTGAGGAAGGAGATTAAATGTGCTTCTAAAATGGCTGTATAGGGAAATCTGACTAGTTTTGCACATGAATTGTGGAAAAGGGTTGGAGGGAGATGAGGAACTCCAACAAGGGGACAAAAATCAACCATGGGAGAAACTGGTGCCATTATAGACAGTCTGAAGAGGAAAAGGAAGAGCAGGTGGAACCAGGATACAGGCTGGGAAGAGGGTGAACAAATTTCATTTAAATTTTGGACAATGCTAAGAAGCTGTGCTAAGGAAAGAATATGATTGGATGAAAGAGAATCATGGAATGCTTAAGGTTGGAAGGGACCTTAAAGATCACATAGTTTCTATTTGCCTACCAAGGGCAGGGAACCTCCTATTAAACCACATTAATCAGAGCCCCATGCACAATGGGGAATCCACAACCTCTCTGGACAACCTTCCAGTGCCTCTCCACTCTTGCAGTAAAGAATTCCTTCCTAACACCCAATCTCAACCCATCCTCCTTCATCTTAAGGCTGTTTCCCCTTGTCCTATCACTACATGCCCTCATGAAAAGCCTCTCTTCACAAATATGATAGTCCTATTTCAGATTGCTGGTGGCCAAGGAGTTCCAAAAATTCTGCCTCAGCACCTCTGCATGTTCTGCTGTTGTCTTCAACCCCCAGCCAGCCATCTGTAGCTAAGCTGTCATTGCTTTCCTATTACTTACATTTACACAGATTCATGTTCTTAAAAGAAGAAAAGTAAATTTCAAAGGTATGAACCATGAGAATCAGTAACTCTCAAAATGTGCAAGAAACAGAATTTTAATTACAGTGTTAGATCTCTTGGAAAACCAGCACACTGCGCTGCCTTTGAAGGCTGTAGCATGGCCCACAAACACAGGAGCACAAAACCACATGCACTTTCAAATACAAACACTCAAATATACACCGACTTTATATATGACAAAATAACCCTTCTTGGGCCAGGCACTGCCCTTTGGTTCTGTGTTCATGGACTGCACGGCTGAGGAGCTGTGGAGGCCAAGGCTGCTGCCCATTGAGCTGCTCCTCCTGGTAGCACAATCTGCAGCTGCTCAGTTCCTGTGCTCTGCCACAGCCTCAAAGGATGTAAAGACACAATCTGTTATGTGATTTGTAGAAATGTGAAAAGCATCAAAAATAGAATATTGTGTAATGTTTTGATGTTAAAAATCTCAAAATAACCCCATTTGCAGGTTCATACAGAATTCTTAATCATGATGCTTAAATATTCTTTCTACTTTTAAGAAGAAAAACTGCTGCAAATATAATTTTGATGACTGCTTCAATATTCTCCATTCTAGATGGAAATAGGAAACAAAAGCTAAGGAGTTAGAGAGAGATCACTGTTTCATTTTAGACTATCAGTTACTATGTGATTCCTTTACATGCTTTCATTCAGTAATTCTAACCTAAGGTGTGCTAATATGTGGTCCATCAACCAGTTCTAAAATGCTTACTCAGTGACAATTGTAGGGTTCTTACCCATGGCCAATGGCATCACGTGAGAAGTAATTCAAATCAGATTACACTAAATTATCATTTTTGAAAGCAAAATACCCTTCAGTATTAACTAAAAATTGACCTTGTTCCATATTTCTCTCCCAAGCAATCATTAATATTCCCAATGGGAATACTACCAAGTTACAGTTGTTCCACTTTAAAATTTGTTTTTAATTCAATAGCTAAAGGACAGAATAGAAGGCTGCATATTTTTCAGAAGATGTATTTCATCTGTTGCTTCTGAATTAATCTGGGTAAGAGCTTTGCAGTCATAACTTATTATCACAGAATCTTACATATGATAGTGTTCTTTATCCATTAGAAGAGGAACAAATACTTTTGCTTTCATGAGAGCTCAGTGCTATAGGAATAACAAACAATTCTGTGATATTCTGCATTATTGGATTTAGTATTCCTTCAAGAGGTTGCTGTGAAGCTGTCTATAATACACTTCTGGTTTCCTGGATGATTCTAACCTTGCATAAATTTGAGTTGACAAAAAGTGCAGTACTTTTTGCAGCTATACACAGAGAATAATCATTTCATTTTTGGCAGAAGCCCAGAAAATGAGACTAGCTCTTTCTTATCTTTGGTTATCAGTACAGGTTTACTATCCATTCCAAAAGTAGTACAGGTAAATGGTTAAATCAACCTAAATGTCTTGCTAGCAAAGACTTTATATATATATATATATATATATATATATATACATGCTGTAGTATCCCTGTGTGCTACAGCACTCAAGAAGCAGAGATTTTCCTGTTTGCTGAGAGTAATTCCAAAGTGCTTTACTGTTTGAGCTTGCACAGTGTAAGAACCCATTACCATACACCCAGCTACTTTCAATGCTGTTGTGACTGAAATTAAATAACCACCACAAAATACAGGGCATTTTAAAGAGTGAATTTAAATTTCCCTACACTTTATTTGAATTGACATATATTTTAATGGTTACCTAATTTTTCAGTTTTATTTCTTTCTGTAGATGTTCTAAGAGCTGGGACTTGTTTTGCCTGTGAACACAGTTCTTGCTGGTAAGCAGACATTCTTACTTGTTGGCAGAATGTATAGTGAAATGGTGGCATGCTGGCTCTCTGAACTTCAGTACTGTTTTAATCTATGCAGGGATCTGAATGAAATATTAAACAGGATGATAGTAGTTGATACTACAAAAAAATAATCTTATAAATATTTCACTTTAGCAATGCAAACATAATGAAAAATACATGTATGTTTACTAATGGTAAACTATTCCTTCAGCTATTCAAAGAGTAAATTTGGTATGTCCACATTTAAATGTTACTCTTAGTGGTCCTCATTTAAATCGTCAGCACAGACTTTTAGTGTGTGCTATGTATCATATGAGTGTACTTTTTCAGTTCTAAATAAAAAAAAAATCTTTTGACTTTATTTTCACTAAGAGGTTTTGGACAGAAACCACAAAGAAGCATTGTGTAGTGTTCATACACTGTTACATATATCCTGTCAACTATTTTTTTCTCACTGTTAGAAGTTAATTATATTTACTATATATTCATTTTAGCATCATGGTAGTTAAAGGTGAGCTCATTTTTACATCCCCATTATCTTGTTTGGTGGCCATCGTGTCTGTAACTCAGCAAGCTGCTGAATTATGTTCACATTTCACATTTCATGATAATAATTCTCTGATTCAGCCTGGAAATTCTACCTGCATGACCTGTGTGACTTACACTGTTCTTACCTATCATTATCATCATTAATACCTTAATACAAACATAGAGTTAAGAAACTATTTATTTATTCACATAAAGTTTGTTTTGATAGCAATTATTTTCACTGCAGCAAAGTATGGATTTGGTGACTTCAGATAAAGGTAGGCAGGGAGAAAAAAATTATGAAATTATGTTTGCATCAGGAAAAGACTCTGATTCTAAATCAGAATTTTCCATCTGTGTAAGCTACTTCAACTTGTCAAAGAAGATTCATTGAGTACTACATTTTGATTATTTTCAGATAACACCATTATAAATGAGAAAATGCTGCTCTCCAGAGACTATAAGGAGGTCATGCTTTTCCTCCTTAGAGAACATGCTAAAGCAATATTTCCCCACCATAATCAGTGCATGATGCAGGCTGGCAGGATGTCATCTCCAAAATGCATATCTGCATGGCAGTGACATAATGGAAATGTTTGCATAACCTGCAAGCTCTTTGCAACAAATGCCACTATATACCTGTAAAAGACAGGGGCCTTTTCAGCTAAG